TCAATATTCTACTAAAGAAAATTTAATAAATAGGTATTACCTCGAACAATCCTACACTAAGCAACAACGAAATGAAATAAAATGATTCAAAATGAAATTGGTCCTCTGACAAAATTTTTACAAAATCTCCTATAAGCTCGAACGAAAAAAAAAATACAATTTAGTGTCAAATTACGATTGCAATAATAACAACTAATAACCAAAAACCTAACCTAACCCTAAACCACTTCAGCTTCCTCCAAAGTAATTGCACAAAACCCATCTCAAACTCCCACAAACTAGTCCATATTTCCAACGTATCTAGATCAGCTATCAATAAATAGTTAAACAACAAAATAAAAGAAAGTTACGAACAATCGTTCAAATTGGCCCTTTAGCAAAATTTTTTATAAAATCTCCCATTAAATTGAAACGAATGAAACGATTTCAGCAGTAACAATTAATACAGCGCCTGAAACCAAAAGCCTACCCTGACCCAAAATCATCAACATCCCCTAAACTGTCACCACCTACAGCTTCTTACAAAGTAACGTGTATCCAAACCTACCGTACCACTCGTAGCCCCCTTTGAAACAGTAATCATTTGACTTTAAGTGAGCCATCAGGGTGTTGAATTACGAGCTCTTATGTAAGTAATCTCGCGAGGGTTCGTGAAGCTGCTCGACGAGGATGCACGGACATTAACGTTAACACCGTTACGACTCCTGTTTCTGCGTAACGTTTTGTTGTTGCAAAACCGCTAGGACGGGGTACAAAGCCCCGCCTGGGGTCGATCTAACGTTGCTCGCGACCTCGCACGATTGGCCAGTGATATCGATGCGTCGCCCGGCGACGGCCAATAGCGACGCAACGCTGACTTGCGCGGACGCCATGACCAGGAGCTGACTTCGCGGTACCCCGCCGCTGCCGTGGACGCCGCCAACGAGGACGACGTCAGGCGACGTCGACGACGTTCTCCGTCGCGTACCCCGCGCACTCCGCTCATAGCCATATCTGGACTTAATTATTGGTGAGTGGTGCGTTTCGTTTCTTTTATTTCGTTCTATATTTCATAAATGAAATTTTACGTTTCACACACGGTGTTTCTCGAAGTTTCACACCGGTGGCACGCCGATGATCATTTCTTAAAATGATTGATAACGGGGAGAGTAGAGGGGTGGTTCGAGGATCCGAGGATATTTTTTTTTTTTTTCGTTTAACGAAATATCCGAGGAATTTTGTGATTTCGAGGTATTGTGATTTATCATGAGTGTGAAGGTGTGTGGAGTGCGAGGTGTTTCTATCAGAAAATCGGGTAAGATCCTTTAGGAAGATCGTTTTCGTTTCCTCGAGATACTTGGAGGATCCTTTATGGACGTTCCATGAAGAAGAGTAACGTAAGGGTTGTTTCTTGAGGCTCTACGAAGGATTATTTTTGGACAGTGGATTAGATCGATATTTATGGTATAATTTTGGTCAGTGGGTATTACTTCAAGTGATTCTTGGTTTAAATTCCAAGTGGAAATTCCTTCGTGCGAGTGAAAATGTGAAAATGGACGACACGGAGGGATCGATTCGGTTGATCAATCGTTCGTGACTCTACAAAAGGATATATAGCCGGGGGAGATTTGTGCAAGGTTGGATCGTGAAAATGTCAGAGATCAGAAAAATGTCAGCGACTTTTTCGTATTGATCTGCCGGGGATGTGCATTGGGCCCCGGGTTCGTTTCATTCAACACCGTTCCTCTCTCTCTCTCTCTCTCTCTCTCTCTCTAAGAGATTCTGAAAGGAATAAAAGTCCGCTTTCCGCCTTTGCAAAGGCACTTTTGGTGCGGCAAAGTCAGTTTTATTACTTCTGAGAAACATTTCTGAGGAAAATCGTTTCGACATTCGATGAGATTGAACATTTAAACCTTGAATTTTTATTTCTTTGTTATACGTATTTAAATTTATTACTGAGCTAACTAATTGTTAATGTAAATATATATTTTTAAAGAATATGAAAGAATATAAATTGGACAGACATTCTTGAATATTCTAATACTCTGAATTTTGGTATCGCTAATCTTTATGTAAACGATACGGAAAAAATTCTAAATTTCAGAAATTTTTAATACATAATATTTAATAATATATTTTCATTGCCGTATACCATTTATTGACTCAAAAAAAAAAGAAAGTACATTTTCATCCTACGTTAATTTGGACCAATTTCATTAATTCGATTAAATTGGGTTCATTAAAGATTTAACCCTTAGCTCCGCCACGGAGACATCCACCATTTGTTCCGTAACTCCGGTGGCCCCGCTGCGGAGGCATTCTGTTTTTAACATAATTACGTTCAAGATCCTTTATCATCGTCGGCAAGCACGTGTAATTTTTTCCACTTAAAATAAGACTTTTTCTCAGATGCTCCGCTGCAAAAATGTGCCGGAGTTGCTGGTAGGCAGTGGTAGAGAAACGCGCGGAGTACAAAGGGTTGATACTAATTACCAATAAAATCGACATTCGTAACCTACTCTGTATAGACAGTAAAACGATTAATACACTCTCAATGTTCCACACTATTTCTTCGATAAAAAAAAAAAGGAATACATTTTTTCAGTCTCACTAATACTAAAAGGATTAAAATCTAGAAAAGTTTCACTAATCAATATACTCGTTAAGAGAAGCCTATATTCGTAACCATATTCTGCATAGATAATAAAACGATTAATACTATCTTTTATACAAAAAAAAAAGAAAAAGAGAGAACACATTTTGTTCAATCTCACTAATCCTAAAAAGACTAAAATCTAAAGCAGTTTTAGCAATCAATACTCGTTAAGAAAAATCGATATTCATAACCTGCTTTACACACACGATAAAGCATACCGAGGAAGCTATTTGCTTGCTGGTGAAAATTCGAAGGAACTGTGCAACCCCAAAAAGGATGTGTAACCAGGCCGAAATCGGTCATTTCCATCTTTCGCCGTTCCACCCTAACTCGTTAGCACACGTGCTGTGCATTTTGTGCCTTTTGTCTGTCACGTGCCGTTTTAATATCTGTCAGCCATTGTGCCGCGATACGTCTCTTTGTGATCGACTCTCGCCGGTGTGCCAACAATTTTTTGCCTTGCACGTCCACGAAGGCAAAAGTCGCTGTTGTCTCTTCGATAGCAGATCGTTGTATCACCATCGATCCGCTTCTTACGAGACGTTATCGAATAAGGCTTCGAGAAAGTTTTGATAAAAATACGAAGGAACGTTTCAAATCTCTTGCCCTAAATTTACTCAGTTATTCATTTTTTAGGTGACAGTAATCTATCTAATTTCGGCATATTTTAGTCAATTATATTTGAATAGTAAAAATGAATATACTAGTTCTTCTTTTTTTTTTTTTGGAACTATCGTGTACTCATAAATATTGTGTACATTTTATTCGAAGTTTCAAATTTTAATGTAAAAATATTCCAAATATCAGTAGCGAAGAAAAATTCCAAATTTCGTCTGAATAAACATTCCAATCTTCGACTCGAACGTATTTCAAAATTTTACTTCGAAAAAGTGCCAAATTTTTATCTGCAAAAATTCCAAACTTCTACTTCTCAAGAATCCCGAATTTTTCTCTTGAAAAAATTCCAAACGTTTACTTTTCAAAAATGTCGAATTCTCATCTCGAGAAATTCGAAACTTTTACCGCAAAAAGATTCCAACTTTCATCTCAGAAGTATTCTGCACGCTCTATCTCAGCACTTTTTTAAGCGTTTTATCGCAGCGTTGAAAGGTCGTACGGTGTTTCGACGAGAAGCTTAAGTGAAAAATACGAGCGTAGAAGAGACGGTGCGTTTCCTCTCGCATTTTTCTACTCCCTGGAGACGTTCCCCGGGGAGTTCGGGGATTAGGGCTAGAGAGACTGCCACTCCAAATAAACACCCCTACTCCGTAGATCCCCTTGCGCTTCGATATCGTGAACCGTACACGTTCCTACACAGACGTGGCTCGTGCAAGGAGGAGAAAATCCGGAAGACGATTTAAAGACTTAAGCGTTTGACCGGTGAAATCGGTTTGGAAACCGATCAGGTACTCGTTGGAAAATAGAAGATTATTTCAGCATCCATTTATACGAAAACCATCGAAATAAGTATATATACACTACCGGCCGAATGTGTGGAATCACTGTGCATTACAAGATATACAAAAATTTCGAGAAGAAGGTTAGCAATTTTAAGAATACTTTAACAAATTTTTCCTCCTTCAACTAAATCGAAATAAGGCAAAGTGCTATCGATCAACTTCAAATCTACAAAAAATTAGCAGCAAATTCAATAGTGACGTTAATTAGCAGGTGATTCGAAACTTTTGACCGGTGGTGTATATATAACATGTCGATTTTTAAATAAATTCAAATTATTTCTGAAATAAATTTAACTTTAATAACTTAGATAACGAAGATATCGAATATTTCATATATTTATTACAGCAGTTCTCATATCATTCAACGAATTCTTTTTTTCGTTAATTTCCGCGTTCCATTTCCAGGGCATTGCGTTCTTTTAATCGGATTAAAGTACCTTCAGATGAGAAAACTTTTAACGGGTTTGGATTTCATTAATCAAGTATGAGTGCTAAAGTTGAAACAACGGTGCGGTGTGCTAAATATTTCTTTTTCCTTTTCTAATTTAAACACAGAATTACGGTGCTTACGAATGTTTCAATTGAAAGTTAAATTTGATATTTGTAAAAAGTCGTTAGATATTCACGTCACGAGTCCTACTATTTCGCTACGAATTACTACGAACAAAAAAAAAGAAGAGAAAACTTTACCTACGAAGGAGCGAAGGAATTGTCGAAAAGTGAAATTAACGTTTGTTAATTTCAAAGAAAATCAATCTCCAAAGAATGGAGAAAATTGATATTCGACGAAGTTTACAGCGAGCAGAAGATTTGGTAACGAGAACGACGACGATTCGTATGCTTCAGGGGCTGCCAATTGCCAACGCGAGCATTTCCAGCCTGAGAGCAACCCCAATAATTGGAAAATGTCCGGATTCGCGGCGGCGGGCCTCGTGGCCTTCGATTCCATCAAGTCCAAAGCATCGCAAAAATTTGCTGGGTAATGTCACGCATGCTCTTACACCAGGAGAAAAAAATCGTTTAAGGCTATATTTAGCCAGAGTTGCTCTATATTTCGCGTGATTAGATGCCGTATAATTGTTCACCGTTACGTAATTCGGATTTATTCGTAATAACCGTTCGTATCTATTTTAAATGATTTCAATGGAATATCCGATTATCCGTGATTTTGAAGAGCAAACGCATTGAAACGAATTTTATCTCATTTACGTAATGTGCTTTCTTATTTGAGCATACGTACGTATAACAGGTAGATTCTGTGGAAAATTGGCGAATAATTTCATTAGAAATTTATCGATTATTTCTATAGAAATAATTAATATTTCAGTGGAAAACGGAGACATATTGATATTTTGATATTTTCTTCATTAATAGCGAAAATATGCAAAATTTCAATTTTATTCTTTCCTTTTCGTTACCGTTGACAAGGGAATAATTTAAATATTGGATTTTGATTAGAAAAATGGTATATTTTGAAGTTTTCAAATTCTCGTAACAACGTCGAGTAGATTTCAAAATATTTTGTATTCTAAAATGAAGAAGCAATGGATACAGTAATTAAAGTGTGAATATTGGACAATTGTAATCATTTCCACAAAATTGAAGTAGAAAATACAAATTATCCGCTTTAATTTCAAAGCTTTTTCTGTTCAGTAGATAATCAATTTTGGGTCTTGTCCCAAAGGAGACAAAGGAGAATACAATATTCACGAGGTGTGTGACGCATGGTTTTTAGGTTCAGAAGGAGCAATGCCGGCTACGAGGAATTCGAGATGCCCCGCGAGGGTAGCAAAGACAATAAGGGGTTTGAAGGAGAGAGAGCATACAGTAGAGAAGCCTCGTTCGAATCACTCCCGGAACCAGAAAGACCCCCACTGCGTCATATCGACACTTACTGCAAGCCAGAATGTCCATGTCTATCGAAAAGATACACTATCGCAACGTTGGCCTGCATAGGTAAATTTTACACGAATTTCATTACCTCCTACACTACACCCTGTACAATATCACAATTCCATTACAATCTCGATACATTTTGAAACGCATTTTTACTTGTAAAATAGTAAATTAACCTTCGGACGGCGGATGCCGGGTCACCGCTGACCCAGCCTTCAGATGTCTCTTGTTTCAACCAGCATTTGGAACAGAGTTACGACTCCTACCCTCCTTAGATTATAAATATATTTGTTATTTTTATCACAACATATTTGCATAATTTTGAAATTAAAAAATGTGCGTTTGCTTGCGTACGAGAAAGATTTTAGTACTGGGTCATATTTGACCCAGGGTTATACGAGGTTGATATGATAGATGTTATTGAAATGATAGACGTTAATTCCACAGTTTGATAGAATGAAACGCTGGAAACTTATAGAGTCAAAAGGAAATTATTTTTTGAAGAAACAGAATGTATCTAAAGTTTTATTCCAAAAGAACGACGTTTCACATGCACCAACCTAATAGGTGGTGGACAGCATTTTTGTAATTCAATAAAAAAGATTCTAATTAGGTGTTTCTCATTTGAAAATTAATCGCTTTGTGTTTGGTCGTATTTGAAAATCCGAATTAACCCTGGTGCGTTCTTCCATTCCGAGTATGCACTCGAGGTGTCTGGGTCAAAAAAGACCCGGAGACCTTGTGTGTTACAATTTCTGTTTCCAGCACGTCGTATGAACCTAGACGAGAAATTTTTAATACAATCTTAAGACTTGGTAACAGCAAAAATGATTAAAAAAGTGAGAAAGTGGTGGGTCAAAAAAGACCCGAAGACCGGACTAGGGTTAAAGATGTCAGAAAGTATAAACAAAACAGAATGTACATAAAGTTTCATTTCAACAAACGAAATTTCATAAGTATCAACCTAGTAATAGAATGTTTCGCGATACAATCCAATTAGCTTCGAATTTGACTAGTGTATAGTAAGAAAACATCCGCGTACCTTCCAGGATTCATCATCTCGTTTGGCATGAGGTGTAACATGGCCATGGTGAAAGTGATGGTGAAGAACGACACGAAATCCGACAACCACAGCAGCAGCAATACTCTCTCGTTCAATTGGACAGTTGGTACAATGAGCGCCCTGGACTCATCCTTCTTCTGGGGTTACCTGGTCACCCAAGTACCAGGAGGTTTCCTCGCTTCCCTTTATCCTGCGAACAAGATATTCGGAATTGCCATTGCTATATCATCGTTTTTGAACTTGCTGGTACCTGGTGCACTAAAAGTCGACCCAATCGTCGATATAATGGTGCAAGTCGTGAAAGGATTGGTGGAGGTGAAATATTTGTATTGTGATTATTTAATATCGAAATAATAACACAGTGCTGTATGATCTTTCTTTCTTCGGTGGAATTTTCACGGAACAATGCTGTTATTTGATCAGGGTGTCACGTATCCGGCGTGTCACGGTATTTGGAAATACTGGGCGCCTCCATTGGAGAGATCACGTTTGGCTACATTAGCGTTTTGCGGTTCTTACGCCGCCATGGTCATAGGAATGCCTATATCAGCTTGCTTGACTTCCATCTTTGGCTGGACAGCGTCCTTTTACTTCTACGGTGAGACAGATCTTCGTCTATTTTAATTAGGAATTTTTAGAATTTTAAATTTTACATTGGAACTTTCAGAATTCTGCCTTTTGAATTTGTAGTCTTCTTTGATTTAAACAAAAGAAGTTTGCTATCGTTACGAAAAATTTAACTTTTGTAATTTATCAAGTAAAAGATTGAGTTAGGTCGTAAGTGGAACATAATGTTACCAAGTGAATTTGAATATCTTTAAATTCCTTGTATAATTGTATCTTTTTCAATCAGTTATATTCATATAATAGATTAACATTATATTGATAATTTCGAAAATTGCATCGAAGTTTCTAGGATTTTATCCATTGAAATAATTCATTCATATGATTACATTGAAATGAAAATTCTCAGCTTGAAATTCTTGAAAACTCGGTAAAATTGTCGAATGAACCAACAACTGCTTCGTGATTAAAAGTGTAACGATTGAAATTTCTAGGCATGTGCGGGTTAATTTGGTACTGTTTCTGGCTGTGGCTGGCTTTCGAGAAACCCTCGAAGCATCCTTGTATTTCGGCTCGCGAACTTCACTACATCGAAGATTCCCTTGGCCAAGGACAAGCGCAAATCCCTATGCCAACGTTCAGCACGACACCGTGGCGTAAATTCTTGACGTCCATGCCAGTCCACGCTATCATCGTAGCTAATTTCTGCAGATCCTGGAATTTCTACCTGCTGGTGCTCTTCCAAGCTCGTTTCCTGCACGAGGCTTTCGACATGCCTCTAGTTGAAGTGAGTCACTTTCCTTCATTTGGTAACAGTTGTATCTTCTCTTTCATTTCACAGTGATTTTAGCTGTTAATATTACAAATCTTCTGTCGTACATAAAAATCAATTTCCCCAGATGAAACTCATTTTGGGTAACCGTAGAAAAATTGCAGAGTACCATTCAAATATTAGCGTGTTTCAAGATGTAGCACACCGCTTTACGACTATTAGTAAAATCCAAATGCTTAACTTGTTTCGCAAATTGTATTAATAATCCTTTTCAATTGAAAATCTTTCGTTGGAATGTTTTAGAATTTTGTCCGTTCAATTAGTTCATTAATATAATTATACCAATTAATTAACTCAAAATTCCAATGAAATTTTCCAAATTATCCATGTAATTATATTAATTATCCGTTATATACATACAATGTTTTTCATATCTACTTTCTATTGTACTTTGACGGGTATACTTTTGATATTTCGCGTAACTATCGCATAAATTCATTTTACGCAAAGCAGCACAGTATGTAACTAAAGTTCCTGAACTCTGAGATATTTTTTCTCATTTATTCGTTCGTTTACGTTTTCCAAATCTTAGTCCGGGAATGTTTGTTACATACTGTACAAGCATCTTTCGCACGATTCTTCCAGACTGGTGTAATCGGTGCACTTCCACACTTGCTGATGACAATAATCGTGCCTTGCGGTGGCTTGCTGGCCGATCACATTCGCAAACGTGGAATATTATCAACGACAAACGTCAGGAAACTTTTCAACTGCGGTGGTTTCGGTATGGAGGCGCTTTTCTTCTTGGTGGTAGCGAATGCGACCATCCATAGAAATGGTACGGCGGCGATCGTGGCGCTCGCGTTTGGCGTAGCATGCAGCGGCTTCGCCATTTCCGGTTTCAACGTGAACCACCTGGATATCGCGCCGAGATACGCCAGTATTCTCATGGGAATGTCGAATGGAATCGGTACGATAGCGGGATTGTTAGTGCCATTCTTCGTAAACAACATCACAGAGAAAAAGGTACGGACTTTTTTTCCTTATGTTTTTCAACCCTTACGCCAATAACCAGAATTGTCGTCTACTTTATCGTCCAAGTTTAGTAGCTTCCTGATAAGAAAATTCGAAACTTGAGGCAAACACGGATAGGAAATGTGCGAAGTAACAACGATCTGGCCGGATATTTCAATCTTTTACCTGGAAGGTGAAATATTTTAAGTGAGAATTGTGCAAAATGGTACCCGGTTATTGACGTAAGGGTTAAGTAAATTTTATTCGACGATAACATATAAATATATAGAAAAAGTGTCGAATTTTTCTCGAATTCCTTATTTCAATATCTTACTTGAATTGCAAATTTGCTATTTCATTATTTCTCATTTCTATCTTATACGATCTCTTATTTAAATCGATATCTCAATGTCTTGTTTAAGTAACAAAATTGTTATTTCATTATTTCCCATTCTTTTTTTAGGACATAAATAATTTTTTAACAGTTCCAGACTTTTATTACTAGCATTTCAAAATAGAGTTATGAATAAAAGTTTGCATATTTTACTTAAAATGCTTAAGAAAAGGCCAATACCATTGTTATTTTTTTCTTTTCTTTCTTTTGTTCTATAGGACGCTCAGAGTTGGAAAAACGTGTTTATTATAGCAGCGTGCGTGCATATATTCGGTGTTACATTTTACGGGATCTTTTGTTCCGGAGAGTTGCAACCTTGGGCTGATCCTACCACGGAGGAGCAAAAGACCTTCGCTATGGACGAATTTGGACAAACGAAACCACCTGTTCCACCGCCGCCGCAAACAATGCAATCCGAATTTATAGTCAGTATTGCAAAATTCTTAATTAAAATGAATCTGATATTAGTAAATTTACATTCACATTATCCCATGCTTTTCGCGAATAAAAACAGATTTCTTTTAACTTTTAAAAATAACAAGTTATTCAGAGCGCTGCAAGATAAACAAAACATATTTACAATTTTTCTATCCAAAAAAATAACTCTCTAAAAAAATTATGTTCGCATGATTAACAATATTCTATTAATTATTCTATTTCCAAGTTACGTTTGTACATTTTGTTGTTTTTTTTTTGTATCTTAAAATAATCCTTCTAAATAAGTGGCTAATTTTGTCTGTTCCTCTGCCCCTTTTTATTCATCGATTTTCCCCCACAGAAACAGCCATCCATGGGTGGAGGAGCCACCGACGATTGGAATAACTACGAGCAACCACCTGCGGATAATATGTACGCTCAACACGACAAACCACCAGTGGTAAGCTACGGATCGACGGAAACCAACAGCAACAACCCCTTCCATTCGACGAACCCCTTCGTCACTGATATAAACGCGTCCCTGGTACAACCGCCAGCAACAAACGACTATTCATACGACGTTACGCAACAGAATCAGCAGTGGAACTAAATTCGTCGATCCCTGAACAAAATTGGACGATCGTAGAAAAATCTTCCGTTCAAGCTTACCGATCGTTTAGTTGAGTATTCATTTGGAACTGACCCTGGTATTTCAATTATACTCATCTGTTTAACGATATTGGAAAATTTTGTCAATTTGTCTGATAATTATTGAGATTGAAAAGAGACTATTTTAAAACGAACGAATTATTCACAGAATATCTTTACGACGAAATTATTCAAAATTAACAGTTACGTGGTTAGATATGGAAATACACTGAGCGATAGTACGCTTTGATTGAAAAGTTCAATAAGATTTTTGAACAATGTAAAAATAAGTAAGTTGAAAAAATTGAAATACCAGAAGCACGTTGGAAAAGTACCTAACAAATAAGTTCTCGATATTTTACGATCTTAAACTATCCAAGATTAGTACAGAATTGCAGGCTTTATACAATAACTTCAATTAGGAAGGAATATTTTTTTATTGCAATACCTAAGAGTGCAGGGTATAGTGCTGTATGTTGACGCACACGAATCTACCGAGTATAAAAAAAGTTTCCGACCACAAAGGGGCCTAATATTCCTAAAAGAAATTAAAACGACAAAAAAAATTAAACACAGAAACGACAAACCTTTTTTAAGAAAAGAAAAGAAGAAAAGCATTCGAATGGCAAACAAGAAAAGAGAATCGAAGAGAAAACTTTCTACATTAATAATCGTCGTGACTATGCACACTTTCACACTGAGAAGTGAATCGAAACTAAATATTCTACGAATCTGAAATTGGCCTGCCAATTAAATACTACGTCCGCTTCCACACACGCAAAAAGGAGGAAAAAGTGGAAACGAGTGGCCTAATTTGAAAATAACTCAATAAAACACTCGATCCATTATTGTTTATTTACAGACACTAATTATGAAAGTAAAAAGTGATTCTTATGAAAGTAAGAGCAGACAATAATGAGATTATCGCCAAACCTTTCCAGACAATAATTTAATAATCGAAGACAATAATGACCAGTAGGTTTGGTGAAGGAATAATGGAAGAAATCTGTTCAGCACAATCACTGAAACTTTTAGGTATTTTCTAATGTTATTCTTCATTTCCGCACCAATGGCAGATAATTCAACGACGGGAAACTTTAGAAACATAGCAATAAAAGGACAAGAAACCAATATTGAATATATTAAATGCCGATCGTCGAGAGTAAAAAATGAAGTGTGGTGCATGAGCCGCTGTTATGGCGCGCATTTTGAAATAGTACAACCCGGTCCTCGACGATAAGCGAACGTACGATAAACTAGAACGAATTAATTATCGAAACGTCAATATTTTAACAATGGGACTGGCGGGTTCTGATATTAAATGCATTACCCGAAAGCATTGCTGCGTGAAAGCATCAAAATAAGATCGAGGGATTAATATGCGACATTTAAATAATTTATTCAGGTACAAGTTGTATCATAGACGAAAAAGTTACGTTACTTAAGCCTTTCGAGTTTAAATGCAATCACACGAAAAGTACACCGATTCTAACGGAACACTGAACGTATGAAAGTATTCGTAAGGAAGTGATAACAAGATGAAAGTATTAGTATGATAAGGTCATAAAAAAAGTACCGTAGGGCTCTATTTGTTGGGACCTGATCTCTTTGAGTGAATTCTCACCTTATGCACCGACGAAAGGATCTTCCATGAAGTTCATAACCTCTTCGAACACGCTGCTTTTCGTTGCATTGTTTAAGATGAATAAGAACATATTAAGAATTTGCAATAATGTTATCGATGAAAGTTTGATTTAAAATTGATCGATTCGAAATTTATAACACGTGTATTATGCACAAAAGAAATCTTCAGATTGAAACATCACGTAATGTTCACATGGTAGTTTCACGATGTTTCAAACGTAGCATATGTTTATTAAGCAATTGCTATCACTGACAAAGAACAGAAAATTAATTGAACAAGTAAGAAATTTATTCTTAACAACGAATAACTAATAACAAATCGTGAACAATGAAACTCGATCACAATACACACGGCAATAAGGTACGCACTTGATAAACTGATTGAATATCGATCGAGGGTATTGCATTTTTCAATGGTGAAAATGGTCACCAGAATGCGCTCTTGAAGTTTAGTAACTTTTACGCGCCACTTGTCTCTTTGCGGTAAGTGTAACGTTGTGTTTGAAGAGGTTATACTGTTTAGCTGTCGCGATTTAGAAATTCGTGAAAATATGTCAATACTGACGTGTTGCTCGAGGTTTCTAGTAAACATCGACGCGTCGAAAAATTAGTTAAAATAGTACATACACAAGATAGAGATCCTGGGATTATTAGAACAATGGTGTCACGGTTCGGATACATCGAGTTCTACCGTACGTATTTGATGAAAGTATATCCATGAAAGTACGAACGACAGTTCGAGAATTAGGAACACGTCGCGTTATTATACATTGTCCTAGATGTTTGTACTTCGTATTATTATACACACATATATTCGCACACGGGCATATACACAGACACACAACACGTACAAAACGTATATATATATTTCGTTATTATGTACGAATGTTATTGGTGATTTTTGATCGATCACCGTATTTCAGAGACAGGATATATACATGTGGAGAGTAAGGTGGTGTTCAATTCATTGCATTGTTTCGCGGGCGAATTGTAACGATATAGGTGTATATATTCGTACGTTTGAGAAGTACGCATAATACGTGGTACAGTTAAACGTCGATCGGTCGTTTACAAAATTGAAGTGAAACAAGTGAATGGTTAAAAAGATTATCAATAATAGATTGAATTAGAAAAAAAAAGTATCAGAAAGGATATTTTGAAAAGATATATTCTGTAATTTCTAAATTAAACTCACTGTTTGTGAAAGTACATATTTTATGAATAGGACTAAAGTTTATTCACTAATAAGGTAATTTGTACATTGAACTCGAGCTATATCCACACTGTGAATAGAATTATATAATACTCTCTATATATGTATTAGCAAAAGTCTTAATGGTATGAGTAAATCTTGTGAACATGACAGTATGATGAATTCCAGTGAATTTTGCAGAATCTTATGAAGGGAACAGTAAGTGGAAAAATTAAGAATACATCAAATACGATCGATCGAGGGTTCACTATACACGTCTAATGTCGAATCAAAGTTACGTGAAACACTGTGTACCTACATTCGAGCAGTCCTTCTTTTCGTTGCCCGAGAATCCACGAGATTAGTCAATTTACGTGATACCTTTTTAAAAAAATTCTAGATATATAATATGAGATATATACGTAAATATACGAATATATATGTGGCCGATATATAACTCAGCGCGTTAAACGACGAATAAGATTAGATGTCATACATTTTCTCAGTCGTGCGTGGTTGTAATTAATATATATGTACACATACGCATATATACGTAAGTACGCATCGAGTCCATATTGCATATTCGGTACTACGCAGATCATCTTAACATCTTTTCACATTGAAATTTTTTTTACGATAATTCCAATATTTTTTTGTCAAGTTAGATTATATTTGTTGGTACAAATATTTAACCATGGAAACTAAAATTTTATGCAAATATCTTTCACTGTGAGCTTTGAACGAATCTCATTAACCTACAAATTTCCATTCGTCTTTTCTTATTTCCATAACAATTTTCATTTCACTTTCTACATTTACAACCAGAGTTTCTTTAGTCCTTTGAAGACAAGCACGTGAAGAGACTTTAATAGAAAAGCAATGATTCCGCAATTGACATGAATCTTAATGTTTCTAAACGATGTGTAAATAATATAACATAATATTAATTATTATTGCACACATATATCACGCGTTATGCATAATAATATTAAAATTATATCATTGTATTGTTATATATACGCATATATATGTATGTATGTATATATCGTTGAGGGCAACGTGTGTGGTGATCGATAATCGAGGGTAATTGCAGTGAATGAAAAGCTTTGCTGAGTGGCAGATGTTAAAAAAAAAATACATATGTATTGAGAATCGTTAGGGATTAAGAGTGCGCTTGAAAGTAATTTATTTTTTAGGGGATTCGCGGTGCCGACAATAATATCTCGTAATCTCATGCACTTGTTATGATGATGCAACACATCCAGTAGTTTTATGCAATTCGTTATTAAGACTTGTTTAAGGGTACGCGTTAACTCTTCGTTTATTTTCATCTAAGACAATAATTTAAAGAAAAAAAAAAAGATACTCTAAGACAATAACAAAATATTTCTATGAAACAAAGACCAGTAACTAACTGTTATATGATGATAGGAGTTCTTGTCTATAATTTTTCAAGTAATTCATTACAAAGGAATCAGATTTAGTAATTTTTATTTAACTTTTAAATGAATTACATTGACAATAATCGCTTTTATATTTCATTATATTGAAAATGTTCATATTTTAATAAATCTAAAACTTTGTAAAATGTATATTAACTACACTTGTACACTTTTACGCTAGCAGTTACGTAAAACGAAGGGTTAACGCTGGTCGCGCAAACTTCTCTCTTCGATGCGTTCCAGGATGCAACGAATATTTTCGATTGATTTACACAACGATAGATTAACGTGTTTCGAAACAATAATTCGATGAAATTTGTCGAACGGGGACGCTCTCTAGGTCCATTACACAAAGCTTCCTCGTTGAAAGATAGTGTTTGACGATTCCGTATATGTATTACGTTGAAACCGTTACGCTTCTGTAATAGTTTAGGATGGACGTAATATTATCGACAATACCGACCGATAATAACAGAGTCGAGGTTTGCTGTTCGACGTTAGTTAGCGCAGTTGCAACAGTAAAATTGACAATAATGGCGAACGTATTTCGAACACGTTGATGCTTTTGTGGCGTCTTCTTCGGTAAAAAACCGGAAATCCAAATGACACGCGTTTTAAGCAACTGACGTTGCACGCGATGTCCATTATTCGTCAACTTGAGCGCCGAGCGGAACGATTCGTTGT